GGATTTCTCGTTGTTTGACGATGAAGAAAGCACTGAAACCGACTCACAACAGCCATCACATCAACCAAAAAACACTCATTCAACAACGTCGTCATCAACAAAATCGGATCGTAAATCGACGAGTACAATTTTCAAACGAGCGTCATTTGCAAATCTGTCACGTTATTTCGACAAAGCTGTGAAATACGTCGAAAGTGGTGATGAAGATTGGTCGCTGTTATTGAGACCAATACCAGCGCCGAGATTCATGCGTCGTGATAGCAGCAGCAGCAGAAGCACGCCACATGATTGCAACAGCAGCAATAGTAAAGTGTCGTCGTCACCTCATCATCGATGCTCACAGCATTTTTTGAATCGCCGACTGGCGTTAACACAATTGAGTAGAAAGGGTAATTATGCGATGGGAAAATTATCTGATGCGTTCCTTTACAAACTGAAGCATCCAACAACTCATGTAAGAACTATCGTATTGCTCAACTGTTGAATTTTTTGAATGTATGATTTGAGATGGCGAATAGTTTCTGTACTCTTTATGGATTCCATTTGATTTCGATTGATTTTAAGAAATGAATTTGGGCAGATCATATGATGTTCGGTTACTGGTGCTTGAGTTCTTGTGTTTGATGTTTATGTGCATGTTTTCGCTGAAGTGGCTCATTCTGAGGCGATTCGGAACAAATTTGCTCAGTTGACATAGAATTAACGCATTTCACATGAACTCCTTACAGCGTTACTGTACTCGTGAGTTGGCTACTCTGCGATTGTCTAAATTCTATCGTGGAATGTTGTGTTGTAAGGAATGTGAAGACTATTCTGCAAATATCGCATTGTATATCTCCCAAACAATTTGTGTTTGCATTAGAACACCATTAGAGCCGCTGCAAAATCGTCAAGGAGAACCGTAATAAATCAGCATTTATAGGAACCGTCATGCGCAAGCCAGTCACTTTACAGTCGGTCGTCGACTACTTCTTTGGATCAAGAGCCTGTTGGCCGGATGACTGACGAGCAAGTCAACGATGCGTTTCGTGAACTTCTGGTATTTTCACTGCATTTCTTCCATTCATATTTACAGTTTCTGCACCGCTTTATCTTTCAGAAATCGTTTAGGAAAAATTGCTCGTAAATTGCAGAAACAAATGAATATAAAAGGTGAAAAACTGGAAGCGCTCGTGGCCGATCGTGACATTGCTAAGAAGAGACAAATGGTCGCGCAATCACAACGACTCAATATGCCCGGTTGTGATTCTTCGAAAGTAAATCTTTTCTCGTGGTTTCTGTACCTGAAAATTACATTCAGACATGTGTGGCATATTCGATNATGTCTAGCAACATTTTGATTTGATTTGATTTGATTCCAACTTGTGCATCCTTTATAGCATCTCGCTCGTTTTTATTTGGATTTCAATAATTCAATAACATCCTTTAAAAGTCATCTTCAGTGATGCGATAGAGTTGTGGGGGAAATTAAATTGATACTTTTAAATGGAAGTATCTAATCGGAACAAATTATTTTCGTGTTCTTATAATGTGAAGTGTTCAGTTTTTATTCTGATGTGTCGTATCAGAATAATGGTTCAATTTGCTTAAGATGGATGAATGATGATTGCGAAGACTGACGTATTCCCGGCTTGCTTTCACTAAGCCAGCAATGTAGAATGTATTTTTTATTCGCAACAAAAGATGTGTTCGTTTCAGTCGCCCAATGATTTTGTGAATCGAATGGAACGAGCGCTTCAAGCCGGTGAAGGACACATGAGTATGCTGAAGGATTTACTTAAAGATCTCAAAGTTCATTTAAGCGTGCAAAAAGTTAATTACATTAAAGAGGTCATCTCATTCTCTTATAATTTATTATACGATGTAATTTGACTTTCATCCATAACAGCATGTCAAAAGCTCAACAGATCACAATGTTCACCCTTTCTCGCCCGATACANATTAGGGGAGCGCTTCTCAAAACAGCCCTATTTGAGCTGTAATCAAATCCTTACAATTAGCAATTGCTGTTTCAATTTCCTCATTTCGCATTTTCATTCTGTGGAACTCATCATCATTCGTTTGTTTGTTGTTTTTCAGTTCGGTGATAAAGGCGGTATCCAGTTGCTGTTTCGGATAATGGAAAATTTGATGAGTATGCTGAGGCAAACAGATTGCCCAGAACGGGATGAAGAGGGCGCGATATTGCTGTACGATAGTATGAAGTGCCTTAAATCGATTGTTAACACTTGGGTTAGTTTATGAAATTCTTTCATAGCAATTATTTCATGATGATAATGATGTTAGAAACAACTGATGATAGCAGTAATGCTGACATTCTCTTTCAGCCGGGCATGTATTTGTGTTTTAAACGGGATTCGAAAATGTTCAAATGTTTGGTCGGTGCCTTATCTGTGGCTGCCTGTAAGCCAACGTTGGACTGTTGGTATTCGCTGAGATTTGAAACGCTCAATTTATTAACAGTTGTTGCTTTTATTAACGATGATCAGTTTGAATTACAAGGGTTTGTTTTTGATTTTTTGTTTATTTTTATTCTATGCAATCGAGTTTTTATGCTTCTTTATGGAAGTACTCTGTTAGAAACTGATGACATCGTTTTTTGACGTGATACAATTTCGTTTCGATAGCACACCGTCATGAAATGGGTTGTCGAATTAAAAAATTGTCGATAGCCTTCTCGTACTGAGCAGCATACTTCTTAGGGACACTACATGAACGATGTCGTACAGTTCAAAAAAAAAACATCTTATTGTGAAAAGTTCACAAGCTGCAACTTTAAACACTTTTGCTAGTAAAAAATTTGGTTTTAGACGTGATATATTATTGGAGGAGCTATCAAAGGAGGGAAGGAATATGAAATGTGAACGATTCTGGTGTATTGTTAGTTGTTTGAAAAAGACAAATCGATTGGATGTTGTGGTTAGTGATTTTAAGAAATTTTTTGCAATTCCTTGTTTGAGATATTTAAGCATCACCATTTAAGACTTGAATGGTGTCTTGAATATAAGCATGAGTTGAAATCCCTATCGATATTATGCAATGCATTTGCAAGCGATTTTGGATGTTCTCATGCCACTGATCTACGAGCTTTCATCAACCCGAAGCGATGAATATTCTAGTAATCGGAAATCTTCATAAGTGCCTCCGTTATCGATAAGCTGACTCAATTGACATCAGCTTGATTTCATGAAGTTAATTTTTGGTTTGCTTTTAAGGAGAATTTCACGTTTAAGACATAATAAATAATCTGCTATAACCATNTGTTCATTGAATGTTAATTGTTGATATGAACAACTTATGCGAGTGGATGATTTTCAGAAGAAAGCGTTAATGTTAGTGAATATAATCTTGGATGTTCGAGATCCAGATGATGTGTCAACTGATGAGGGTAAGGCGGCCGCTGAAGAAGCCTGGCAAATGCGAATGCACTGGAGAAGCGAATTCATGCGAGCTGGAATGTACCAGTGCGTTGATGTAAGATGGCGATTGATATTCCGTATTCGCTCATTTAAGAGTATCCATTTGAGCTCTACAGTCTTTACGTGATAGTTGTTAAAATTCGTGCGAATTTTATGTTTCCTTCCGAAATAATCCTGAATCATATGTACAACGTTTCGGCTGAAGCGTTTTTTTCTTGAAAGCGAGTAAGCATTTTGTTTGTTATTAGCGAAGGGAACAAGAAGTGATCACGAAAAAAGAAATTATTTCAGTTCCTCGAACATTGTACAGCCGAATCAATCAAAGCTCAATACGATACGTTCTGTCATAACAAAGAAGCAGATTTTGCGGAACTCGTTGAAAGATTTGAACAAATGTTAGTTGGCTGGTTTGAATGATCCTTTTGGAGAATTAAATTACCCTGCGATATTATTGGAATGATTGGTTTTCCTGATAATATCGTTGCATTGGAATGGTTTCATTTCAT